GGGTTTGAACCGCCAGCCGTCTGGTTAGCAGGCAAGTGTCTTAGCCACTATGCTACCAGAGCTCCCAGAGATAATAATAGAACCTACTAAATACAACCTACCAAATAAAGTATTTTTAGAACTAAATGAAACTCTTAGAATGGTGCCTAACAAATAATGCTGTATATATGCAGGTGTTCAATACAGAAAAGAGAGTATGTTTGTATATTGAAGGGCTTAGAATTCAAATATAAATCACTCTTGCCCACTACTGCTGCCCTGTATTGCATTTTAGGAAGACTAATGAAATTGCAGAGCATTGTAGCAAAGTGTTCTTAATTAATCCTGTTCTGCTGCTCCCTGCGTCATCTATCCCATGGGCCCAATCTCTGGAGTGGAAAGGATTCGTTCCTTCACAAAATTACCAGAACTGCTTACTCCTGATGTAAGAAAAGAAGTTGGAATTATTTTTCTCTTGGAAATATGTTTTCTAAATATTTTTAACATGGGAGTTCTGAGTGACTACTAACCACAGAAGGTTAAATGACTACTAAGCACAGAAAACCATGTCCTTGTGTGACCTCTCAGCCTGAATTTATGCTAATCTTAATCTAAGGATCAGGTGGAAATAGGATCAGTGCTGCTTAAATCCCCATCATTTTTTACTTTGAGTCTAATAAAACGATGAGATTGCTATGATCAAAATCGACTCGACAGCAATAGGTTTGGGTTTTTCTATTTGTGTTTTGGTTTAGATAACTTGCCAAGAAGGTATGAGAAGAGATTGTTGCTTCTTATTTAGAAAGTCTTCTTCCTTTCTATTAAATTCATGGGCTTTATCACTTCTTTAAAAAAAAAAAAAAAATTGCCACAAGTCAATCCCAACATATAGTGACCCTATGTTGTTGTTGTTGTTATGCGCTCTCGAGTCCTCTCTGACTCACAGTGACTTCTCCTTGGGTTTCCAAGGCAGTAGCTCCACGCAAGTAGATCACCCAATCTTCCTTCCAAGGAGTGCCTGGTGGCTTTGAACCTCCAACCTTCTGGTTAGCAGTCGAGTGCCTTAGACACTACGCCACCAGAGCTCCTATAGTGACCCTTACTGGATATTAATTTATAGAGGTACTGGGAACTGTAGCAGCCTGCTACGAAAGAAAATAGAGACCAAGTGGCCAGAGGGATAGAAGAAGCCTACTTCCCCAAGCTTTTTGAGACGAGTGCACTAAGGAGCATTCTGGTCCTGCCAGCTTACCCCAGCACAGCTCTAAAGCATCAAATCCTTCAAAGGAGCTTTGCTTACAACCCACAAGAGTAGATGAAGCCTATTGATTTTTTTATTTTTTTTTTAATACTTCTCTGGGCTTACAAAACTTAAAAATCATTTAAAGGAGAAATAACAAATTCGTAGCCACTTAGCCAAATCTGGCCTCCAGATGTTTTTCTTAACTGCCACAGTATATTTTATATTTGAATTCACATGATTTGGGGCATGGCATGCTCTCCCCAATTCTGCCACAGGCCACAGCACTCCCTATTACTGTTTTACTCATTTATGTTTGCCATGCAACTCCTGAGAATTTCATGTGTGATTTTTCTTCTTCAACTGTAAAGGAAATTCCTCTTAGTGACAAAACTCCTTCAATATGTCTATTGTATTTGAGAGAAGAGAATATTAATAATGACCATAACAATACTTTGGGAGCTCTGGTAGCATAGTGCCTAAGGCACTTGACTGCTAACCAGAAGGCTGGCAGTTCAAACCCACCAGCCACTCCTCGGAAGGAAGGTTGGGCAATCCTACTTCCGTAGTGATACTGCCTCAGAAACCCAAGGAGGGGTCGCTATGAGTCGGGGACGACTCGACGGCATATAACAACAACAACAACATAACAATACTTTATGATGACAATATATCATTATATTGAAGATATTAATATAAGTAAATAATAAGATACTAGATGCTCTAGTAGCGTAGCTGGAGGTGCAAACCCACCAGCCACTCCTTGGAAGGAAGGTTGGGCAATCTACTTCCTTAGTGAGACTGCCTCAGAAACCCAAGGAGGGATCTCTATGAGTCAAGTCTGACTCGATGGCACATAACAACAACAACAGGCAAAGGTGACTATGAAAAAGAAAAAAAAGGACCTCTGTCCTGAGGAACTAATTAGATCACTATCTAATGTTATTACCAGAAGTCATAAAAGCTGTGTCCTTTTATGCCTACTGACATGCATTGGAAAGATGCAAATTTCTGTGTCAGACACTACAGGGGATCCAAAAGTGAATAAAACAGAATTCCTAAAATGAAAAAAATGTGGAGTTTGGAGGAGGACACAGACATGCACATGAGCAATGTTCAGGAATGAGGCAACAATGAAGGAATGTTGGATACACAAGTAACCAGCTTCAAGGTTCTAAACTGGAATATTCCCAAGGCCTCTCTGGTCTCTCTCCAGCCCTTTTCTCTCACAAAGCCAGAGTTATCTTTTCAGAACACAACTCTCTTTGGATCACTTCTATTAACCCACTAGTAACTTCACAATAAAGACCAAAATTTTCAATAATGTTTTTTAACTCCCATGTGGCCTGGCCCCAGTTACATCTCTAATCTTCTGAGGGATTATCCTTTCTCTTTCCATCCTTCAGCCACAGATTCTTGCCTATGATGCAGCTTACTTCACACACACGCACTTACACAGACACACATACATATTTTGCCTTCACATTTTTCTGACCATGGATAAATATTGCATCTCAGGGCATCTTTAGTATAAGTCTAATACTGTCTTATTTTTAATACCTTAGTTTGAAAATATGCATTAATCAGTGTGATTATTTGGTTACATTCTCTTCTCCCTCCAGACAATAATGTCTATTAATACTGGGGTGGTATCTGTTTTACCTCACTCATGTACTCTGTCTTGGAAGAAGGACAGCAGGAACACTCCTTAGAGGCAAGAATGACCAGACTTGGTCTAACCTTCTTTGATCATGTTCTCAGAAGGGATCAGTCCCTGGAGAAGGATAACATGCTTAGTAAAGTAGAGGGTCAGTGAAAAAGGGGAAGACGCTCAATGACCTGTATTTACACAGTGACTGCAATGATAGACTCATGCACAGCAAATTAGTGAAGGTGGTGCAGGCCCGGGAATGTTTCATTCTGTTGTACATAGGGTAGCTATGGGTCAAAGCCTAACAACACCTAACACCTAACAGCATCTAACAGCAGCAACAGTGTATCACCCATGCCTGGCATAGGCTCCATAACATAGTAAGAGCACAGTCACTATCTGTTAAATAAATTCATAGCTTAATGAATAAGTGAATGGTCTTGCATTTAAACCCCATCCTCCCAACAACAGGACTGACAGGACAGCATCCTCTTCAGAAGCAAGTGCAGCCTTGGTCACCTAAACACATTTCTGCAACAGTGGGCAGGATAGGTGAATAAATGAAGTGGACTCGAGGACTCGAGTGTCAAGGAGCCTGCATCCATGTGGAAAGCCTACAGGTGTCAAGGGTTATTGCTATGTCCCTCATTCTCCCTCATTCCCAGGCAGGAATGGAAATTCTTCTTTGGGAATGAAAGAGCAGTGTTGTGAACAGCTGATTTCTCATGAAGATTAATTTCCATGGTCACCAGAGAACCACAAAACCTCTCCAAGCAAGCAGCTCTCTAAAGTTATTTTTGTTGTAAAGTCTAAATAAAGTGTTCTGAAAAGACTTTGCCTTCAGAATCCTTAAATTCAGAAAAGGGAACAAAATGGAAAACTTTAGATTTTTAATTACCCTTTCTGTGTCATTACCTTCAACTCATTCTATAAAATGAGTGACAGCA